CCGTTCTTCGCTTCACCTCCTCCGTGACCACCATGGCAGCTCGGACGGCCAACACCAGAGGTTCCAAGGACTGGTTTTGTGCTTCGGAGTGTTTGGAGCATCAGGTACTTCCCGGCATACCAGTGCCTGAATTTCGAGGGTTTCCTGCTAGGTCATCTGTGTCAAAATCATGCACGGCCCACTTTTGCGTGATGCTGATTCTTGCCCAGACCGACACTTCCAGTTTTTACGTGGGTAGTAGGAGGCTCAACGAAGTGCCGAGCTCCGAGAGTTGCACTAGGTTTTGTGAAAGTGGCCATCCTCTTGAACCTACAGCTTCCCAGAAAGCATGCCCGAGCCGAGTTTCTTCACACCCGTTAGCACGATGTTCCACAATCTGGAAACGAATCGACACGTTGGAACTTGCCCCATAACGACATGCGTATTGAGAGCACTAAAATCGACACTGATGAAGCTGTGCTGGTGACTCTGGTGACAAGACCACAATTACTGACCAGCACCATCTGTAACCTTAGGGGCCCCGACATTGACATGAACCGCAGTCTTTAAACCTCTCGAGTAATACTAGCCTAGCCCAAAGCTGCTACTTCCAAAGCACCTCAACCCAAACCCTTTACCAAGACCCCAAGCCCCAAATCACCCCTTCCTAATATTCCCGAATTACAGTGCACTCCAGAAAGTTGGAACATGGATTTAGGATGGTTAGTGCCGTGATTACCCTATACTTTACCTTAAGGGCATGAGGATTCTAATGTTCCAACTTTTCTGGCTTCTACTGATTCTACTGTATATATAACATGCCCAGAACTTTACGGCTACTTGTACCTAAAGCCGAAACCGAGAACCGACTGAATCCAACACCCCTAATGTAGGTTCTACTGTAAGTGGTACGAGTCCCAGGCTCGTCACCCAGCTCTCCGCTCCTCTCACTCTCGTTCGCCCTCGTCGGCGGCTCAGGGCAGACCTGTCACGTCATCAGAGGAGGCTCTTTAAGCTTTATGGGATTTAGGTTCCTCAGGTTGGGTTTGGCATTTATGGTTTGTCGGCATTGCATTTCGTGCTGACTGGCTTCGTTTAGAAGGGTTGTCATTTTTTCGTCTTGGGGCTTGTATGTAGGGGCCTAACGTTCCAGGGCACCATGGTCCCAACATGGGTTGCATGCCCAGGTTGGCGTTCCTTGCTAGATTTCTACTTACGGTTGATGCTCTGGTACTAGGCTTATGAGGGTTCGGGATGAAGGGTGTTTCGGGGTTAAGCTTTCTTTTCGATGGATTGTTTGCATAGTCCTGACACAGATGTTTAAGGGTTTCGGTACATGGGATAGGAGAGAAATCGAGGGTTGTGTTTACTGTTTATGGATTAGGAATTCAGGATTTGGGGTTTGGGTGCTTGATCATTTGAGGATGTAGACCGTCCAGGAGGTGTCCTTACGTCAAAAAGCCAGGCGACATGGTGAATTTGCAGCTGAACCCTGTTAAGGTTGCTGCCAATGCCATCATGCGAGGCAGCTATTCCGTCGCCATGAGCTACCATTGTTTCCTGGGTTTTGTCAAGTCATGCGTGCTGTTGCGTTTTCTGTCTTAGGTCACAGACATCACGATCATCATCATCATCGTCATCATCGTCGTCGGCTTCACGCTAAGGCGCGTGCATGGGTGGTTTGTTATCTGCCCTCAGAGCTCCTCATGACCTGAAATTCAGCCAGTTAAGGCTCCAAACTGGAGTTGGGTATGGTGGCGAGATGGTTTTATCCTAATCATTCCTAAACCTAAATGCTTTGGCTGTTAAGGTCGTGGTTCTGCCTTCAATGATTGAATAAAGGCTTCAGGGTTTGAGGGGTCTGGGTTTAGGGTCGGGTCTAATATGGTTCGGGTTAGGCTTCAGGCTTTATTGTTTCGTGCCTGGTGGGCATTGGCCTCCGTGGACCCCGAACAGCCTTGCCCCACTGCCCTGAAGCAGCTGTGTATGTCGAAGTAGCAAACTCCTAGGCCACATGCATTTTTCGGCCGCCATATCAAGACACTGATCTTAGCCCTTGTGGAGCATCTTGCTATGAAGCCATCTCCGTTATCTTAGTCGTACAGCTGCTGAATATCAATTTGGCCATTTAGGCCTGAGTGCCCTGATATTAAAATCCTCTCCGGCGCATTCAACCTGCGTATACCCGGCAGACGCAATACAACAGAAGGGTAGTTGTCAAAATGATGGTCCCTTTTTGTGTACCCTAAGTATTATGGAACCAAAAAGGGACCATAATTTTGACAACCACCCAGAAGTGCAAGGGCAGGAGACTCTGCTTAAGAAAACTGTCCCATCTTCCTCAGCGTCCGGATTCAGGAACCTATGCCCTGCACCGTAGTACCAGACACATACCCTCTGAACAGCGACGTACTGAACTCGCCGTCAATGCAAGCCCTCTATGTTCCAAGCGGCCCTTCCGAGGCTTAGAGGGCGTAGGGTTTTGGGGGTTAGGGGGTTTAGGGTTTACCTTAACCCGATGAACCTACATCTTTAAGGACTTATATAAAGAAGCCCGAAAAAGGAACCCCAAAAAGGTAGGTTATTCAGGTTTAGGGTTTAGACCGAAGCTCACATGAAAGCCGAGATGGCGAAACGCTGGTTACAGAGCCCGGGAAACTCAATAAGTCCGAACTACCTAGACCCTAGACCCCGCAACTACCCTCTAATATACCCCATAGACCTACTAGTAAAGGCCACTAGTATGGGCCATTAGGGCTCCATTAAAGAGCCATTAGGTACATACCCTCTAATTTTAACGCTACGGTGCCCGGCTGGGCGAGGGGGCAGTCGATGTTTTTTTTTGCTAGGGCGGCCTGTCAAACCCCAACCTTTACACGTTTGTTGATACGAAGTGCGAGGAGAATGGGTAGGGGAGGGGGGGGAGGGGGGGGCAGGGGGGGGGAGGCGGGGGGGTAGGGGGGGGGAGCGACAAATCAGGTAAAATGAGGGGAAGCCGGGCCAAGGAGCTCCAAACATTTGCAGCTCAGAGGCATGAACTAACTCATCAGCCCATAGGGCCTAGAGGCCCTACACGGTCTCTACCCCAAACCCTAAAATTTCAGCACTAATTTAAGGCTCCTAAAGGGGTCATGGGCTTTCTGGGGGGAAGGGTTTGGACTTTGGGGGCTAAGGTTTGGGATCTCACTACGAGGGTCCAGGAGCATTAGGGTAAGCCCTAAAAACCGAACCATCCCAAACCCTAGATCCGGACCCTGAGTTCTAAACCTAAGCCCTATAAACCTTAGATACATTTTGACGAATCTCCAAGCCTAAGCCCGAGGATTCTCCTGAAGTCCAACGCAGAAGAGTTGGTGCATGGACTTGAGGATGAACCGTGCTCCCATGCAGCCGCTAGTTTCAAGCCATCAACTGCGCAAATGATGTTACAACCACAGCTTTAGTCCGGCACCAACCCCGGAAATGCGGAAACCCTAAACGGGCCCTAAAACCCCTAGACCCCAAACCCTACCCCCCAAGCTCTAAACCCTAAACCAAGCCACAAACCCGAAAGCAAACGAAAGAGCAGACAGGAGCCGACGTCGAACGAGCCTCGTTCCGAGGCTTCCGCCACGGTTTAGGGTTTAGGGTTTAGGGTCCGGCTTTTCACCCTAAGGGTCCAAGTATCAGTATGGTATATACTGAGACCCCCAAAATACACTACAAGTACTTGCCATAATGCCCTTTGGGCCATTGGGTCAGGGCGCCACAGATTTAGGGCCTCTGCATGGGCTCTAGGTGTAGAGATTTGGTTCAGGGTTTTTGGCTTCCGGTGCTTATGCTTAAGGTTTTAGGTCTTAGGCGTGGGACTTCGGTGCTCAGGGCATTGGTTTCTATTATTTCACATTATTTCATATTTTGCAGTACTATATTTTAACAGTATGTGTTATATCGTACTACTATACACTGTATTAATATAGTATACAGTATACTAATACTGCACCATGCTGTAGTGTACTGCATTCTGTCATGAATGTCAGATTGTTTCATAATATAGTACACGTGTCATAGGTTATAGTATTTGATACCATCTCATATTCTGTTCTGGTTACATTATAGATAGTGTTTGTCGTTTTTTGTTATTTTACCTTACAATAAAGTTTAGCTTGGCGTTATACTACATTATGCTATGGCATACCGGCGACGGATCCTGAGCGCAATTCGTTGAGGCTTTGGCCTGCCCCTAAGCTTCCGAACCCTAGCACCCAAAGCCCGGAGCAATCATAGCCGGTTTGGGGGTTAGTGTTTAGGGGTTTGGGGTTTTAGGGTTGAGGTGTTTAGGGCTTGGGGGTGGAGGGTTTAGGGTTTTGGGTTTCGTACGGTTTAGGGGTTTAGGGTTTTGGGTGCCCAGCTCAGGGTTGCGGGCTTGGCTCTCGCGTTTTGGGGTCAAGCTGTGCGACGTCTGACTTGCAGAGGGGCTTCGTAGGCAGTCCGACCCTAGCCGGAGACCCCAGACATTTGTTTGTGGGATCCTCAAGCCCTTTCAACAGGCAAGTCTCATGAATTGCAGGTCATGTTCAAAGTAGCCCTGAATACCCTCTCTTGATTGCTCGAACATGCTCGAACCATTGTGAGTCCTCATCCCGTCGCAACAACCCAATTTTCTAGCCTCCTCGAGTACAAGCACCCTGCTCCTCAAAAGTTTCGTGGGATTCGTAGACTGGGGTTGGAAGTGCAGCTAGGGAAAAACCTCTTGCACACCCTCCAACTTGCAGCGTGCAATACCCGTTGAAGACGGGCCAAGATATCATATCCGGAAAATCAGATAAGTTGCAAACCCCTAAACTCCTAGAGCCCCTAACCTCAAATGTCCCTTGATGCCCTACTCAGAGGCTCCATAGTAAATCCTTTTTGGGATTACCGTATAGGATTCTGAAGATGAACCACAAAAGGGAACTAACATGGAGCCTATGGGTAAACTTGGATGAACCCAAAACACTTCGGGAGGCGATGCTTGGAGGTGTCACGCTGCTGCCGCGCGGATGGAGCGCATTTTGTCACATCGATTTTGGGTTTAGGGATTTGAAGTTTCTGGTGGTCTACGGCTGTAGAAAGATGGGCCCGGGATTTTATGATGTCGGTCATCGGGTTCAGAGTTAGGGGATATGAAATTTGAGTGTTAACCCAGTGCTCATGTTTGGGGACTTCTTCCGACATCTGTTTTGTCGGCGTCCGACGACAGCACAAGGTTTTGTGCACAACTGAAGCTTAGCGTGTGCGGCTGCAGTTCTAAGGTTAACCTAGTTACAGAAAGTATGATGACGACAGTCATGACCGTAGCCATCAGCACTGCCATGGTCACTGTCCTTAATTGCCACCGTCGTCTTCAACCACAAGCCTCTTTTCCTCCTCCTCCTCCTCCTCCTCCTCCTCTCCTCCTCCTCCTCCTCCTTCTCCTCCTCCTCCACATTACCATCGTCATCATCATCATCATCATCACATCTTGTTGTCATCGTTACTAGTATCGCAATCGCGTTTCTTTTAAAGGGTTTTTATCAGGGTGTTAGCAGGATTTGGGTGTCCATGTCGTTGTCATGCTCATCGGCTATCTTCACATGCGTCATCCCCAGGCTTGTGGGAGCCAGGATCATCTTGCTGCTCTTCGTCCCCCTAGGCTCCAGATACCTATTAGTAGGACTAGCCATATATATATATATATATATATATATGTATATATATATATATATATATATATTAGTAGGACTAGCCATATATATATATATATATATATATATATATACATATAATACATATATATATACATAGATATTCATATAACCATAAATAAATAAAAAACAAATATAAATAGATATATATATATATATATATATATATGTATATCATATACATCATATACCCCAGTAGCCCACTTTTTTAGGTTACTGGAGCCCTGGGGGATCATGATCACCGTCCTCGGAAGGGTCAAACTGGCACACGAGAACGGATGCCTAAGTCTTGCTAGAGCACCTTGACTTGGCCATTGCACCTTTGCCACTCGCGACCCTACCTTGTTTCGTTTACCTAGGGCTCCAAGTATACAAGTAGTACTTACTTTGGGCTATTTGGAGCCCAAGAGTTTCAACATTCCCAACCCGGGCCTTCACCTCCAAAGTAGGCATGATTTTTTTGTCAGAGGTCTTCCCTTACTGTGGCCCGGCGACCATCAAGCCATCGGCCTTAAATCCAGAAACCCCTTAAAGGGTCGAGGGTAAATCTCGAAACTCTGAACCTGCATCCCGAAAATCGGAAGGAAGCTCCAAATCCTGTTACTTGGAGGTTCATGGGTAGTTATAGGTGGGGTTATAAGTCCCCATATGGTTTATAAGTATAGTTCCCCTACTTATAACCCTACTTCTAGCTACCCATGAACCTCCAAGTAGAGACAACACATACACAGGAGACTCCGATCAGAGACACAGCGCGGTAGCCAAGTCGGGTCTGGTGTCTGGATGTCATGATTCTGTTCATGACAAAGCATTGTTCTCTGTGTGTGTGTGGAAGAGAATCTGCGGTATCCGTCATGTGTTCGCACGATGCTTTGTGTATTGTAAGATCTTGTCTATCAGCAGTTTCATGCCAAGTCGTGAAGGAGTGGCTGCATGCTGTATGCCCCATTCCACTTTTTATTAGGGATTCGGGCTGCCGCTCGTAAACCCCTAAACCTTTGTGCTCCGTCATTCGTTCGCCTTTTTTGTTGTGGGCTCGTGGTTGGAGTTGCAGTTTGGGAGTTCTTGGAGATTTCATGCTAGGAGCTCTCACAGGACGTGAGCTGTTCTGTTTTAGTGTGAAGAAATATGCGTTTAGGGCAGTTCAGGGTTGAGGGTGGAGTTCGTTGAGAAGCAACATCCGTACACTGCCAGGCCTAATTAGATTCCATAGTTCTCAGGTTCACTAGCTCGCTTCCCACGCGTAGGTACCTATGGCATGCGGGCTGCAAGCCAGATTGTGGCTTTCGGATTCAGGTTCGCAAATCGGGGAATAAGCTTTTTGGAGGTTGATTCTTGACGTACGTAGGATGGTGATCCCTGAGAAGTAGACTCTCGTGATCTGGTGGACCCGGAAACTTTGCTCCCCGAGAGGGTCGCAACGGGTGTATCTTGACATGTTTTCGGCCGGCGAATTGGCGATCTCACCTGTGAGTCTAAACTTGCAAGCCCCTGGCCCCAAACCCTGAAGGACAGGATTCTGAATCCTGATCCTTTCAGAGCCCACTTCGGCAGGTGATGAACGCCGGCCATGAAACAAGACTCTCCCTGCAGGCTGGTGGGGTCAACAATCTTAGCCTTAGTTAGGGGTGTGCTTGGAGGGCACGGGACTTAGTAAGTCGTTTAGGAGTAGGGTTAGAATTGGGGGTAGCTCCATTTGGGGTACTTATAACTCTACCTACAACCTACTTACTAAGGCCCCTGCCTCTCCAAGTGGGAGACTGAGGATTTTTGGGTTTGGGACTTTGGTCCCCAAGCCCTAAACTGGGTTTTGGGGCTCGATCTCACCGCTGACCGCTCAAGACCCCAGGTCCTGTGCGTGGGGAGCAGCTGACTGCACTCCCAATGCTGCTGTAAGTGTCCATATGGGTAGTTGTCAAAATTATTGCCCCCTTTTTTGGGCACCCTGGGTATTAGGTGCCGTAGCTTAATAACGACCCAGAAAGGGACCAACATTCTGACAACCACCCATATGGCTATGAAAGGAGCCACATACATAGGGTCTCGAGGCTCTTCACGGACCAAGTATCGAAGGGGAAAAGGATGGACCCTTAATGGGGACCCCTACCCTATAATGGGCTATATAATGGGTATATACTAGCTATATTGAGGGTCCCTCCTTTTACCCTTGGAAAGTATATACTATGTATCTTGCATTCCCCGCAGCCTCAAATATACACTGAAAGGGCTCACAACTAAGAGGGGACATTTGTTGCGAGCCTGGATTCGTAGAAGCTTGCCGTTTCGGATCGATGGGGATTCTTGTCCGAGTCTGCAGACAGCTTGAGGGTTTCGTCCGTATTTTCTGAGGTATCGGATTCAGCTCGGGTTTAGGATTCGGGCAGGGCTTCAAGCCTAAAACTTGCAGGTTATAGGGTTCCATATCATGCAGCCATCTAAAGGACCACCACAAACCAAGCCTTGAACCCTCAACCCGAGACGTTAAGCACTGAAGCCCTACTCAATACTCCCCGCAACCCATAAACCTTGGAGCTCTGAACCCCACGACCAGGGCAGGGTGCGCAAGATTCCGCTCTTGAAGCGGATTTGGAGGCCTCTTGGGTTTGGGGGGTTTGGGAGGTTGTGGGTTCAGGGATGTGGAGTTTGGGGGGTTGGGGGTTCAGGGATTTTGTGTAATGACTTAAGTGTCACATCCTCAACATGGATCGAGCACCAATCCAGAGCCTAGCAGATGCGCAATGATCTTCAGTTCCCCTAAGGGTCCATGTACTCATATAGTATATACATTGGCCTTAATGTAGTGCCTATTTGGATACTTTGGGGCCCATGTATCTCTATATGGGTACATGGACACTGAGGGTTCAGTAGTTTCAGCCTTCGGCCCGCTTCGAGCTGCGGCTTGCTAAGAGGTCCACGAGAGCATGCGGTTGATGATATAAATCCTGCATGACCCATAATAGCGAATATACCATAATTCCCATAGTTTAGGGTCCTTAAGGTAATGCAGGATTTCTATCATCAACCGACGTCGCTCTTCCGCTCCGACCCTCAATCCCAGCAATGAAGGCTTTCAGCAGGTCGTACAACGACTGGCTCGGAAGGTAACTCTAAAACTCTGAACACACAAAAAAACCTTACACCCTAAACCCTTAAACCCCTTAAGCCCTAAACCCTGAAACCCTTAGGCTCTTGGGGTTTGGGGCACTACGGCAACCTCGTGTCTGCTGAGCCTAGCGAACCCCCATAAGCCCAGAACCCTAGAGCGTTGACTCCGATGAACCATGGCTGAACTCTACACGCCACATGCCTTTTGAGGGGTTCAGGGGTTCAGGGCCCAGTAGATGAACTAGAAAAGAGCAAGAACGAGCCTTAACAGGTAGTTTTGTCAGTAATATGAATGGCGACTTTACGGTGTGGTCTGCCTCTGAAACCTGTTACCACTTGCAAAGACCAAAGACCCCAAAGGGTCCATGTACCCAAGCAGCGTAGACTTTGGCACCAAAGTACCTTACAGAGGGACTATTTTACAGCCAAAGTATGTCTTTTTTGTGTCCCGGAAGTTTAAGGGGACACATATGATCTGTAATCTGCGTTGGGACCTTTGCCATGTTGAAGCTCTAGATTGCAAGCCTAATCCTTTACTACTCCTTTACTCCTACACCCTAAACCCAGACTACCTAAACTTGACACGTAAGGGTTCCCTTAAGGATTCCTTTCAGCGAGCAGTGCGGGTGGGAGGCTCCTGCAGAAGCTTCCAGCCGATCGACGCCGGGAGATCCTCTCGTGACCCGCCGTGTGTTCAGGGTCTAGGGTTTAGGGTTTAGGATTCAGAGTTTAGGGTTTAGGGTTTAGGATTCAGAGTTTAGGGTTTAGGGTTAATTTAGGATTATGGAGCAAGATCCAAGAGAGAAGCAATTTTCAAGGCCCTAAAACTCAAGCCCCGTACCCGAGCATGTGTAGCAGTGTAGAGTAGACTTCCCGAACGACGGATTCTGAGAGGCTCTCGGTAGCTTCACTATAAGCTGCCAGCTATACGGTAGTGACACACCTGGCAGACCGAAATTGCACTAGTAGAGCTCTCCCTTAGAAGCTACTTTTAAGGCTCGTGTTCGAGCCCTTTTCGGAGCTTAGACCTTGTAGGCCGGAGAGAGTATATTAGGCCGACCGGCCACGCTTGCTTGGCAGAGCCCCGTTCCGGGGGGGGGGGGGGGGGTTTGGTTTGGGTTTAGGGTTTTGGGCTTAGGGTTTAGGGGTTTGGGTTTAGGGTATGAGTTGGGATTGGCGGTTTCGATTGCAGGTTCAGGTTCTAGTGGTTCCAGTTCACAGCTTCAATAAAATATGTCCCGATGGGTCATGGGTGTTCGGATCTGTCAACGATGTGTTATCGAATACTGGAGGGATTTCCTGAAGTTTACAAGACAGAATGAAATCCATCCGACAGTCATTGTCCGATCCAGTATAGATCCTTCTAAACCCTAGGCGCTAAACCCTAAATCCTAAACCCTAAACCCTAAACCCTGAACCCCTCGCGGTTTGGAATCTCTGATCAACTGTGTACTCAGGGGCTTGAGCACCGCACAGCAATGCCAGCTCGAGCGTCGGCACCCCAATGCTCGTGTTTGGGGATCTCCCGCATATCTTGCAGCCGGCATGTCGGGTTAGGCTTCACTTACCTTTGGTTAGTAGGGAATGGGAAGTAAGTAGTAGTAGTAGTAGTAGTAGTAGTAGTAGTAGTAGTAGTAGTAGTAGTAGTAGTAGTAGTAGTAGTAGTAGTAGTAGTAGTAGTAGTAGTAGTAGTAGTAGTAGTAGTAGTAGTAGTAGTAGTAGTAGTAGTAGTAGTAGTAGTAGTAGTAGTAGTAGTAGTACAGTAGTAGTAGTAGTAGTAGTAGTAGTAGTAGTAGTAGTAGTAGTAGTAGTAGTAGTAGTAGTAGTAGTTCTTGTAATTGTACCCCATTCCTCCATTCCCTACTATCCAAAGGTCAGGGCTTAACCCTTCAACCCTCGGCTTCAGGGCTTAAGTCCTCAACCCTCAGCCCCAGACCCCGAAGCTCGACAACCACTCCTCCTGCTACGAGCCCCAGCTACAGCACAGGCAGCAGCATCAGTCGAGAGCACGAAGTAACGGACACGTATCAAATATTCGGATTTTGAGCTTGACTTCATGACATGGAACTATGCCATGCAGAAGTAGAACACTCAAGGTTGCAAGCGACCCTTGACCACCTGATGAAGCAAGGAACTGTTGGAAGAACCCTGTTTCTGCTGTATGCGGCACTGTGTCTTGCTGAGGGAAACCTCCAAATCATCAAGCAACAGAAGACACAACGAATATCAACACATGTACAATAAGCATATAGGACATAACAGGCCTTAATCAACCCCAGGCCGCGTATCGAAAGCTCAACCCTGAAAGAAGGCTGTGCAGTTGTAAACGCGAGAGCCTATCTAGAAGCTCTCCTTGATAAGAGTCCGAGTAACATAGTGGCCGGAATACTTAAAGTACTATTCCTTGGGCTCCCCATTGTAGTCATAGTATGACTGTGTATCAAACGCCAAAGTCTAGTTATTCCAACGATGGCCTCCCTTCTGCAAGCGGATGGCCACTTCGAGTGACCCTATTGCAGAGCAGTTAGAGAATATGATAAACCCCAAAAGTGGTCAGAACAGATGTAAGGTACCCCAAAACCCTCTTAAAATCATCAGAACAGATACAATCTACCCCAAATCCTCGTAAAGTCAGACATAAGCCCAGTAAGGTTCATCAGTGCAGATATAGTATAAGCCCGTTCAAAGTCATCAGAGCAGATAAAGTCTAGCCCTCAAAAACCGTTTAAAGTCATCAGAACGATGGCCTCTCTTCCGCCATCCGATGCCCTAAACCTAATTAATCCCTGAAGCGTCAACCATAAACACGAAACCCTATACCTTAACCCCACACCCTAAACCCCCTAAACCCCCTAAACTTTAAACCCTAAACCCCTTAAACCCCTAATCCCTAAACCCCTAAACCCCAACCCCTAAACCCTAAATCGTGCACTCCGAGGTTGGATCCTCACCCGCGTCCCGCGCCCAAGGGCCGAGGAGGCCTGAAGCTTCGTACTACAGTCTGTGGGCTTTCTGGTTTAGTATTTATTAGGGTCTACAATCACGCAGTTGAGTCTGTTCTAGTATAAACAACAAAGAAGATGAAAGCATGGTTTAGCATTTTCTGGTATATGGCAGTATATGACAGTATGGTTTAGTATGTTGTAGTATACGATAGTATGTTTTTCGTATGTTATAGCATGTCAGACAGTATACTATGGTATATTATACTCTCGTAGATTCTGGTGTATTGTAGTGTCGCCCTAAAACGATTGGTTCGTGCTTCAGGTTTGAGGTTTAGGTTCTGGAGTTTGGGGCTCATGGGGTTTAAGGCTTTGGGATTGGGGCCTACGACTGCAGATGTTGAAGTCGATGGACGTTGTTGAGACCAACATCCTCGTCATATCATTGATATAGACAGAGGGATGACAAGGTCCCCTTTTAGCATCAGGCCATGACACACCCTCCGCCCCAAACTACATGCACACCGAATGAAGGTTTGGCTGCACAACGCCAAGATCTCCGGTTATCGAGACGCCTTGGAGATCGCAACAATTTCAGGGTTTAGGGGCATACTTCTTCATCCGTCATCAGCCTTTGTTATCATCAGAAGGGCACCATGCAGCCAAAGAGCTGCGGTGATGCCAACGGTCAAGACAGCATAGTAATGAAGTTCATTACGAGTCTGAGAAGCAATAATCAGTAGTAGCTAGGTAGTCTAGTAAGCATGAAAGGTTGTTAAAAACGCGGTACACCCGACCCATCGTCGAAACGAGATATACATATATATATATATATATATATCTATATATATATATATATATATATAGATAGGCCTAATACCGTGGCTCTCTTGTCGCTTGGTGAGGTGCCGCAGGTCCAAAAGTCTCAACGGAACCGGCGAGCGCCTGCAGCGCCCAAAGCCAAGAAGGCTCGCTGTGCAGCAACGTAAAGTAAGGTTTAGGGTTTAGGGTTTAGGGTTTAGGGTTTAGGGTTTAGGATTTAGGGTTTAGGGTTTAGGGTTTAGGATTTAGGGTTTAGGGTTTAGGGTTTAGGGTTTAGGGTTTAGGATTTAGGGTTTAGGGTTTAGGGTTTAGGGTTTAGGGTTTAGGGTTTAGGGTTTAGTAGGGTGTAGGGTTTAGGATTTCGGGGTGCAGGGTTTGAGGTTTAGGGTTTCATGGAGCGCTGGCTCCAGCTAAAGATACTCCGGCACGTGCTGTCTGGGGTTGCGGATTCGGGGGTTATTTAGGGTTTAATGAGTAAGGACATAGGAGACAGGAGAGACTCCGCCTCACGTGTACGCCTGAACGGGTAGACCAGCTACCAAGACCAAGGCCTTATTTGCAGCAGTTACAGTGACGGAGTATCAAAACCATGATTGTGACCCTCATTAACTTATGCCATTGAGCCCCAGACCCCCAATCCCCAATTAAACCGGGAATTTCGATCGCAATGCCGAAGTGGACTGATCAGTCTGGTTGATAAAGCAAGGGGATCCATGGCAAAAGATCTAGAGAACTGTGGGGTTCGGCCTTTTCGAAAGCAGACAACCGTTGGCAGAAGGGGACCCCAAAGTAGCTCGGGTGATGCGGCAACTTGAGCTGTGTGTAGCCTTTGAGCGTCTCGGGCGTCCTATAAATTTCAAAGCTCAAAGGCATCAGAGACACCTTGAAGCAACCGGCAAGCCTCTGTCTCAGAGGTCTGAATACTCCGGATCCTTCCCTATGGACCCTTAACAATCTTTCTTTGATGCAGGTGGAGAGTGCGTGTCGAACGCACCTAAACGCGGTGCAATATTGTACTAGTATAACACACCAGCCCACAAAAAAGATTCAGACCACCACCTTTTCCCCACAAAAACCCTGAACCCACAAACCCTGAAATCCTCCTAAACCCATGTTCCAACTTTCTGGGGTTCACTATAAATCCGAAACCCTAAGCCCCAAAACCCGGAGCCTGGCAAGGGCCGACTGCCGCAGCCGGGCATCGTCCGGTACTTCCGGGGCAAGGCGACAGTCTGGAATATTGGGTTTAGCATTTATGGGGTTTAGGGTTCTTGGGGATCAGGGTTAAGGGTTTAGAGTTGAGGGTCTTGGTTTTAGCATTCACAGCATCGAAAGGGCGAAGTTTGGTTTCTCCGATTCATGGCCCTTGTAGCCCTAGACCCTAGACTGGAAACCCCGAAGCACCTTTGTTGCTCTGCCGGGCTCTTGGTTTGGGGCAAGTACAAGGTTTCGGCATCCTTTTTTGATGCTTCGGGATGCAAGGTTCATGGGGGCATCATCGTCGCGTAGGGTTTATGGGGCATATAATGAGATCGGCTCATCGGGACTTATAGTGACGGGATCTTAGGGCCCGGCGCATGAAGAAGTTACACGCTTCTGCCAGGGTGGTGCCACCTGCTACTATGCGCACGCCTCAGATTCAGCTCAACCCCACGCGCCAAATCCCAATCCCTTAAACCCTAGACGCCAACCCTTAAACCTTAAAACCCTTAACGCCTTTGAAACCGTTAAAACCCTTGACACCCTCAACATGCTAAGCCCAATCTTTTTGCCAGGCTTCTGGGGGCTGGATCGCAGGGCGCTTTCAACCTCTCAGAGCTTCAACGCCACCGCTTTTCCAGAGCCTTTGGGGCCGAACTGCAGACCCGAGGGTCTGGGGTTTATGGGTTTAGGGTTTATGGGTTTAGGATTTAGGGTTTAGGGGGCAGACCCGAGAGCTCAAGCCATCTAGATATTACGTGAGATATTCGAAGGTTACGGGGCAGACGTGAAAGAAACGCAAGAAAGCTTTATAGAAACCTTTCTAGAAGGCAAAGCGGCACTAAAGGATTGCGCCGGGAACCGTATACCCGAAACCCTAAACCCGAAACCAAAACACCAAAAGACCTTCCAGCGGCCCTAACTGATGACCCGAGGCCGCACAGATCCAGCTCGGAGAACACCTTCGCCTGCTCTCGAAGACGGAGCTTCACCTGGAGGTCTGCGCAGTTCCGGGTGCAAAGCAAAAGGGGCATGAGTAAGAGGGTTCTTTCAAGGGTTCCAAGGGTTCAGTTATTCTTCATTCTCTAGCGTCCCTGGCTACAATAGACAGTAAGATATGCCTAGTAACGACGGCTTCGCTGAGAATGTGCATCAGTTCTATGCTGGCTCTTTACAAGAAGGTTTGTTAGTGGGGTTTAGCTTTCGCAAGATCTGCAACGTTAGGGTCTGATAGGAAACTTACAGGACTGTAGATGATCTCTTGCGCAGCTTCGTGTTTGTTAGTAACAGGGCTGCCCTGTTGTCTTGGGCTTGGGAATGTAGGGTGTAGTCCGTTGTAAATAGTTGTGCTGACATGTCGAGGGTTGCAGGTTTTAAGACTTTGTTGCATTGTGACAATGATGGTGACAGTGATGATTGTGACGACGACGGTCCTGATCATCATCATTGTCATCATCATCACCATCATCACCATCATCACCATTAGGTGTCCCCGTTTTGGGGGGATGCCTTGTTATCTTCAGGGCATGATTGGTGGTAGACAACATGCTGCAAGCCATGCCTCCAGCAGGAGAAGGCCACATTGGGAAGTTGAGCTTAGGGATGAAAGCCCGAAGCCCCAACCCCCAGGCCTAAATCCCTGACGATGACCCTGATCCCTAAACCCTAAACCCTCAACACGCCAACTGAAAATAAAAGAAGGATGCGCTTCGGCACCACGAGGAGCTGCAACGCCGCTGGGCGAGAAGTCACTACAGTTTTCGGCCTGGTCAGATTTTAAACATCCGACATTCCCTAAACCTAAAGCCCTAAAACCTTGAGGCCTGACAACCCTAAACCCGAAGCCCTAAATCTTAAACCTCAAGCCCCAAGCTGGGAGTTGGAAACTGTAGGATCCTTTCTTTGTATAGTTTCTTCTAGAAGCCTTCAAAGCCTCTGGGATTCCGAGGTATCCGCCATGCCGCGGGCGCCGGCACAAACTTCGAAAACCAATTCCGCGAGGTCTCCGACTGTGGTGCGGGGGTTGCGGTATCAGCTGGGTGGTTGTCAAAATTATGGTCCCTTTTTGGGTCCCTATTATAGTACGGCACCTATTATCTAGGGTACCCAAAAAGGGGACATAATTTTGACAACTACCCAGCTATAAGTTCCCCTATGAGGATTCCATGAGGGTTGCTGCAAGGCTATAAGGCGTCCTGTACAGGTGCCGCAGGGGTTGTACAAGGGTTGCTGTAAGTGGTCCTAGAGGTGACGTCTCAAAACTTCCAATAAGGGTTCATTTAAAGGAAGCAGGTTGAGGGGTCTTCTAGGAAGGGTTATGGGTCTTTATATGCACAGTTCATGGGGTTCTATTAGGGATCCTTTAAGGCATCCTTATTCGTTATGGGGTCCTGGAAGGACCGTGTTTAGGGACCTAGACCTGACAGGGTAGTACCCGAGGTGCCCCTGCGGTGCCCTCCTTGCCTTTTGCATTTGAGGGTTTCCTTACTAAAACTGAATACCAGGAAAAGGCTGCACTCATGATGAAGGAGACACTAGGGAACGTAGTACGCACCGGACGCCTTACGTATTTTCTTGCGTACCATCCGAACTACTGCATAGGTCATCCCAGAAGTTACTGCACCTCAGGTGTAGGTAGGCTCCGTCAGGGGTTTAAGCAGTAACTCAGTAGCACGTCAACAAGGGGATCTGTGTCTCTGGTGAAGTGATTAGGAGCTTGGTGAGCGTGCATAGAGCTCCTGAGGAATATTGGTGAGTGTATCTTTGGGCTGAAGTGCGGCTTTGCCCACTTCGGGTAGCCGCGGTGGCCATGGCCATAGGTGATGGCGGCACATGCTGCTTTCACAGCCCAGAGGCAGAAATGGCCAGCTAAAGAGGACGTCCACACAAGTCCTCTCGCTTTCTGGCGCGCGAACCACACGTTCCTGCCATGACTGGCCGCTGTGGCTCGTGCCACACTGGCAATGCCAGCAGGCCACAGCCTCGCTGCAAGCCCGTGTTGCCGTGGCGGAAGAGCTGCTGCTGGCCATGTGGGTTCGCCACCAGACGGCCGAGGCAGAAGGCAGCCGTGCTGCTGCGGCCTTTGAGCTCAAGTCGCCGACCGCCTCCTTTGAGGTGGACACACGTGTGATGAACAGCTGCCGACTGGTGCTAAGACTTGCATTCACGCATCTCCCGAGTCTCGGTACTCATAGCAACAAACTGACTTCATGTGGCTGAAGATAGTTCTTGCTGGTTGTATCTGTTATAAACCTTAAGCAACACCGCCTCAGCCGAGTTTTGTCGGGATCCTACAAGGTCTCAAGAGCTCTGGATTTAGGAGTCTGGGAGTTTCGGGTTCCGGGCTTCTGGGTTTAGGGTTTGCCGATAAAAAAATCTGTGGTTTATGTTTCAGGCTTCAGGGGTTAGGCTTATTGGTTTAGGGTTTAGGGTTTAGGGGTTAGGCTTATTGATTCATGCCATGTCGGGCTTGTTGGTTTTGGCTTTGAAGGGCTCAGAATGGCACAGTGTCACTTTGTGGGTCTGTGCTCTAGGTGCAATTTCGCAACCAGAATACGTATCTCTGCTTGTCCAACATATAGCATCGGTACACGTATGCATACATACCTATATGCAAGCAGTTCACTGCAGGCCTCAAGCTTCATCATGTCCTTGCCTTGTAGCTATGGAGCCCTTGTAAAGAACCTTTGAAGGAATCCTTATAGGCTATAGATGAGCCTTCCCTTAGCCTATAGATGAGCCTTTTTCTCCTGAGTCGTATCCGTAATCCCTGAATGACCCTTCGAGATCTCATGCAGCCTTTTCCAAGATGCAGCTTTTAAGGAACCTTTCCAGGAACCTTCATAGAATTAGTGTTGACTTGATCTGCATTTGCAGGCGCTGTTGGCCACGGAAAGACCCGGGCCGCCCGCAGAGCATCTGTTTCGGGGTGGTGAAAGGTTCTGGAAGCGCGCTAGGTGGATTCTACCGGGTTCCCTAGGGGGTCTGTAGGGGTTATAGAGGGGCTTGTCCTAAACCGTAAACCCTAAACCTCGAACCCCAAACCCTAAACCTTAATCCTTAATACTAAACCCGATACCCAAAACCTCAATGTCTAAACCGTAAATTCGAGGTTCAGGTTTAGGACTTAGCGTGTTTCGGATCGAAGATTAATATAGCTCCGGGGCTTCGTGTGTTTGAGTTTCAGGGTTTACCCGAAACCCCTCAAAACCCTAGACCCCAAACCCTAGACCATAAACCCTAAACCCTAATTTAAAGCCTAAACCATAAGCCCTAAACCCCAAACCGTTACCCCAAAGCCCTAAACCGTAACCCCTAAGCCCTAAACCGTAACCCCTAAGCCCTAAACCGTAACCCCTAAGCCCTACAGACGCCACTAAGGTTTCAGATTTCCAGTCCTTCATCCCCAGCCCCACACCTTCAGCCTCCCGGCAATCCCCCCAAAAGGCCTTTGTGGCTGTGGTTTGAGGCCCTGCACGGTTTAGGGTTTAGGGTTTAGGGTTTAGGGTTTGGGGTTTAGGGTTTAGGGGACAGGCCCAAAGGGTCCAAAGTAGCTGCATGGTAGAATGTAGGGTTTCTATATTAGGAGATACTATTATGATTTGGGGGAGTATCCCCCATAACACTACCTAGGACCTTTCGGGTGAGGCCCAAGAGCTTACTTGTCTGAAAGCCCCAAACCACACGATAAGCCTAATCCTGACATAGGAGAGGTAATAGTTACCTATACTATGGTGGAGGTTCCTTGTTAGAAATAGCATAATATGCACCAAAACCCTATGCAAGTTTTTTCAGGCCGCTCTATCTCCTCCCTAAACAAATTTCAATCCGAGGTCTCAGCAAACGGGCAAAGGCATGGGCCTGCGCTTCGTCTGTCACTCAGCCTTATGTCACCGGACAGTTTCAGGCTTAAGTTAGGGCTTAGGGTTTGGTTTCAAGGGCCGTGGAGGCTAGGTTTCAAGGGAATAATGTTAGCAGATATCCATACCCGCACGATTACCTGAAACCCTTCACCGTAATTGGCTCCCGCAGTACCCAGACATTCCAACATCCCTCAATTAAGGCATATACCTTAGATTATCGTCGGATCCCTCATATTGTTTAAGGTATTCCTTAAGTGAGGGATAGTTTGGAAGGTCTTTCAAAGCCGATGCGAATCCAAATCAACCCAAATCCCCCGAGCCCCTAAACCCTTGCGCTTATAAGATTTGTTCCAATAAGGGCGTGCCAGAAGGGTCCATGTACCTGTTTGTATCAGTGTATATCCCCAAGGGTCCGTGTACCCAAATTGTGTAGTTGTTGGCCCCGAAATACCTAAATAGTGACCACTTCAAGGCCAAAATTTCTACTATCTCGGTACACGGGCCCTTAAACCCTAAACCCCAAAGATCCATTATGGAAACCTTGCAGTATCCTTGAAGGAGCCCTTAGAAGGGGTACATGGAGCCATTGGAGCCTTTTTGGGGTATTGTCTTGCCGGTAAAGCAGCCTCTTGGATAATGTCCAAGCCTGAGGTAGGGTTTAGGGTGTAGGGTTTTGGGTTTAGGGGTGTTGGGTAAAGTATACACCAAACTACCATAATAGCCTTCTCTCTCGCATCGAGTTTATGGGACAACCACAGAGAAATAAGTGTTGCTAGTTCAAGAGATATAGGTAACGCCGTAAATCCTAGAGATCCCTAAACCCCTAAACCCAATGAGCCTTCAGCCCTAAACCCAATGAGCCCTACGGCTATTCCATGGCCCCTAAACCCAAAACCCTAAGCCCTAAACCCAAAACCCTATAGGCCCTAAACCCAAAACTCCTAAGCCCTAAGCCCCTAAACCCTAAACCCTTACCGTGATCCTCCTGCAACCCGGAGGTCCAAACAGCGAGCAATGGCCTAGAGTAGGTAACCTTAAGCCCTTTTGGGTAGTATAGTCCCTAAAACTATATGGTGCCTATATGACCAAAAAGGTTAATCTTTAGTTCCCCATGATACCAAACAAGTAGGATGGGGAATGGGATTCTATAGGAAGTCTATACGATTGCGGGTCCAAAGGACCGAAATTGAGTGCTGAGTTTAGGATAGTAGCAATTGATCCTTCGGGTTTTACGGTTTAGGGCTTGGGGTTACTCTTAGCCGATTGGTGTGTTAGGGAAAGTTTGGTTTTTAGGCTCTCAGAGCCGAACAAGAACCTCCTGTATTGTACCTATAGTCTCCATTGTAGTTCCTTTTTTTGGGTTACCTTTTGGGATCCTTCATATATAATTGGTTAAACCAAAAACAGGAACTAAAATGGAAACTATAGGTAGGGACATCCCTGATCTATGCCTGCTCTGCGCCCTCAGGTGGTATCCGTGAGGCCGACAGGGAGACGTTGGAAATCCGAAGCTAACGCACGAGAACAGGGGAGAGCTACTAGACCCTATACTTGTAGATGGCCGGCTAAAGGGCATAGGTCTCTTTGAAATTCTGGGATTCAGCCGCGAGAGAGCTTAGGGTCGAGTCACGGCCAGGTTTGGGTGTAGATTACGTTTTGCGGTTAATCAGGTTTGGGTTCAGATCTTCGGATGTAGCCCGTTTCTGTCATCCTCCTGGCGGGAGTGTGCCTTCACCTGACGACAACAAACGGCAGGGACGAGCTTTGGCGGGAGGGGCTCGAGGCTGTTGGGGCCGGAGAATGTGAGTAGTATACCTAGTAGTAGAGTAGGTAACCTTTAACCTTTGTTGGGTAGTATAGTCCCTATCTAATCCCTGTACAGCCAAAAGGTTAACCTTTGGTTCCCCATGATACCCGACAAGTAGGTATAGTACGACCACTCGCTGCTCGAATTGTGATCTCTGGTGTCCCGATTATGACGACTCCTCGCTTTAGTCATTATGGTTAAGGCGTTCTTTGCCTTTACTACCACCATCTCGAGCATCTCGACAGAGACTACTAAACCCGGAACCTTAAACCCTAAGTTATGACAGTTATGATCATTAGTATGTGTGTGGTTCCCTCGAGTGGTTCTAGGGCTTGAGACTTGGGTTCAATCAGAAAGGTGTGGTCAGGTGCAGTTATATTTGGTCTGATAAATGATAAGGTTTCGTGTTGAGGGTTTAGGGTGTAGGCCAAGAGTTTGAGAGTGTCGGGTTAAGGGCTTAGAGGTTAGAACGCAGGGTTCCGGGCTCAGGGTTTAGAGTTTGGATTTATTCGGGGCTGCGTGCACACCGCTGGACCTATTCAGGTTGACCGTGGCTTAGAGCAAAGAACATTGAAACACAAAGGAATGGCAGTCTGTCGTTTGTGGCGAAATCCTACAATAACGCTAAGGCGGTTGGGGAGTCCGTCTTACCGTAAACTCACAACCACAGTGACCCTTCGAGCTTGAAACCCAAACCGTCAACTCGTCGAAACCCTATACCCAGTCGCACAGAATCCCAGAACCGTACAACTCCACCAAGCCCTAAAACGCGTTCAAATCTCCTAAACCCTCAAACCCCCGAGCCGCCCTGAACCCCTTCACCCCTCAATAAAGCCCAAAACCCCTCAAAACCCTTAAACCCCTAAAGCCTACTGAAGCCACTAAACCCTACAGCCTCAAAGCCTAGACCCCCAAACCCCTAAACCCTGAACCCCTAAACCCCTAACGCCTAAACCTCAAAGCCCAAACCCCTCGGTCACTGTAGGGGGGGGGGGTGGGGCGGCAGGCCTTGCTTCTCAGAGAGGCGGCTCGCATCGCCCCCTTACCGCATGGACACCCTGGAGGCTAAAAGTGCTTTTGTTTAGGGTTGTTGGGTTTATAGGGCTTGCGGGTTTTTGGTTTATAGGGATTGTGACAAGGTTTTGGGTGTTATAGGGCTTTATGGGGAATGTCATATTGTGTTGCACATGGTTTTAAGTTTCGGGTTTAGGGTTTGGTGGAGGTGTTATGGTTGTTGGGGTGTCATATTGTGTTGCACATGGTTTTAAGTTTCGGGTTTAGGGTTTGGTGGAGGTGTTATGGTTGTTGGGGTTGTTAGGTTTAGGGGTTAGTTTGTGTTTCGGATTTGCGGCTTCTTCCAGGCCTTCAGTCTCTTCTTCCGATTTCAGAAATTGTTCAGGATCAGTTGTTGTTCCGGTGTTGTGGGGGTTCTCACATGAACTGGGGTTCAGGACTGGTGTAGGGTTGTAAGGGTGCAGGGTCGAGAGTTTAGGGTTCGGGGTCTTAGGCTTTTCGAACATCTGATTCCTCCACCACGTCCGGGGCGCTGGCAGGAAGCCACATGTTGTCAGGGTTCAGGGTCTCCTGCGCTGACATGACACTCTGGAGTAGGGTTGAACATGCGGGGTTCTTGTTTCTATGGGTTTTGCTCGCCAAATATTCCGCATTCGCAAGCCCCAGCATTGAGTCGCGGTGAATCCGTCGAGAGCATATTGGCTCGACGCACAAGTATCAGGTTCCCAGGTAGTATCCTCGTGCCCTTTTCATGTTAGGGTTCCTGATTAAAACTGAAAACCAGCTTGAAGTAGGGTGTCCTCATTATTGAGGAGACACTGGGGAGCCTGGAGCTATAGTTGCAGGTTTACGCTGTCGCCGTGCATGCTGATAGTCCGCTGGAGAGCCAGCGGCGAACAGATCGCCAAGTTAGACCATGAGCAGAAACGAGAGGTGTTCGCCTCAGCTGCTTCAGGAGGCAAAGTGAGAGACTTGAAAAGGTACCTACAGAAGTTGACAGGCATCTCTCCATTTCGGCAGGTTCTTTCGGAGGAAGACACTGCAAGGGTACTCCTCGACAGCCACTACTTGGAAAATCCCTGTGTTCTTGAGCTGTTGGTGCGTCCTTTTTCCGAGCAGAGACGCTACGAAGAGCTCAGATGGGCTGC